GAAAAAAAAGCAGAAGAAAGAAAACAGTAGCAGAATGGTGCGTTCGATGCAATATATATTTGTGGATGAGTGAGAAAGAAATAGTGAGGAAAAATTGTGATGGTAATTAGGATACAAAAAAAAAAAAAAAAGAAGAAGAAGAGAAAAAGAACTAGTTCTATCATACCTAAATCTGCGATGAGTAGTCAGTTATGTTTATTCACCAAGTACAAATAAGACCTATGCATCAATACGGTTCATCTTTATTCTGTTTTATGTCAAGATGAATAATTCACACATTTTATGATCTGTTTGTTTCTTTCTTTCTTTTTTTTTTCTCATAAAAGATTATACTAGTGCGTGTATATGTTGATAGAAGCTAATAGTTACTGATGTATGTGTGTGTTTTTGTTTACAAATGAAGAATATGAGATAATCTTTTCTTCTTCTTCGTGTGTTGTTCAGATCAACTAATGAAGAACATACTAGTTTCAGTAGACATGATAATGTAAGAAGAATTGCTCATAAATTGCATTAGATCGACAACTATAGAATATTTAACTTAATGATAGACGACAAAAAAAAAATGAGCAGGAATGATCGTTCGTGATAAATTTTCTTTTTATTTTTAGATTTTTTAGTATTCTGTGTCCTTATAAATATATCATAATTTATCATGGGAAATACTTTACCACAAAAAAATTCATTTCGATCAATAATAACAACAACAACAACAAATGAATCAATAGAATATCCAAAATTAAAAAAATCTCGTAGTTTACGTGATTATACTCGACATACACCATTAATTAATATTAGTAAAAATAATAGTGTTAATCGAAAAAATATATCACCAACAAGGCCAAGATCAATGGCACCAACTGACGCTGAAATAATTGATATTCGTAGTTTACGTTGTACATTGCCATTATCAGATATATTAACGCATGATGATATATCATTAACAAATAAAAATCATGAAAATGAAAATCATTTAATAAAACAACTTGATTATATTTATTCTTGTGTACGAAAAGATAAAGGTTTATTTGGTAAGTTTAATTTTTATTGAAGATTTGAAAAAATAAAAATAAAAATTTCTTCTATGTAAAATAGGAATGATGACAGAAAATCTTCAAAGTAAACATATTTTTTCAAATCATGAACCTGAAAATACACATATATTAGAACGAACACCAGAAGATTTTCAAATGGATTATAAATCAATTTATTTACAAACATTTGATGGAGAATTTATACATGCTTATTGGATACAACAATCAAATGATATTAATTTAACAACAACACTTTTATATTTACATGGTGCAGGTGGAAATATTTCACATCGACTTGAAGTTTTAAGACTTTTTTATGAAAATCTTCATTGTAATATTTTAATTATTGATTATCGAGGTTAGTATTTATTAAGATAAAAAATAATTAATTCTTTAGATATAAGATTTTTCTTTTTATAATTCAAAAGATTATCTTTTCTATATGCAAATTTCCTATATATATATACATAACTAAAATCCCTCCCCCTCTCCAAAAAATAAAATCTATTTTTATATATTGAATTTTTTTTTTGGTGAATAATTTCTATCATCTAATCTTGAAAATCTTTGTTTTTTTTTTTTCATTATATTTTAAATAGGTTTTGGTAAAAGTACTGGTTCACCAAGTGAACTTGGTCTTTATATTGATGCTCAAACAGCATATGATTATTTAATATATAAACAAAAAATTTTACCAGATAATATAATTGTTTTTGGTACAAGTCTTGGTGCATCTGTTGCTATACAACTTGTTAGTGATCCATTAAATCGTGTTAAATTAGCTATATTTGAAAATGCTTTTATATCAGTACCTGAAATAGCTAAATATTTTTTAACATATGCTAAAAGTGTTATTGGTGTAACAAAATCAATTGGTTTTATTTATTTATTTGATTCATTATCTAAAGTACGTCGTATTGAATGTCCATGTATTTATTTAACCGGTTTACTTGATCCTATTATTCCAACATGGATGTCAAATACATTATATAATGAAACACGTTCAGCACGAAAACGTCATTTATTTGAATATCCATTTGGTAAACATAATGATTTACCAATAATGCCTGATTATTTTGACAATATTCAATCATTTATTAATGAATTACCTTTAACTAAATCTTCAACTGAACAACAACAACAACAATCGGTGCTGAGATAATTTTCATATTAATAAAAATATATCTATGTATATATAAATAACATGTGCTCGCTTTTCGGGTTGCAGCTATTTATTTATTATTTGATCAACAAAAAAAAAAAAAAAAGACATGTCGAGAATAGATTCATATCTTTGTTGTAGAATATCATGAATAAATCATTTTTGTCTTTTTGAAAAACAAGATTGTTTTTATTTTTATCTTGTCTGAAATTTCTGAGCTAAAACGATAAGTTGTATAAACTTGTCTCTACATTGATTAGAACATGATGATTATAAGGAAAAAAAAAAAGAACATTACTATTTAATTCCGGATAATATTTATCTTTCTTTCAACTTGTCATCAAGTGGAAAAAAAATTATATGTCATGATAATCAGTACTTACGTAAATCAACCTTATAAAAAAAAAGAAAAATGACGTCATTCTATTTTTCTTTTTTGAGAAATAAAAAAAAACAAGGCCATAACTGGAACTATGGATAATTTTTTTTTTATAGTTTTGATAGAAAAATTGTTCGTGAATATTATGTGATTATAGTCATCTTTTGTTTTATTGATTTTTCACAATCAATTTGACAAAAAAAAAAAATGTTATTTTAACGTAGAAGAATATTTTTATCGAAAGTTAGGAAATAAAATTCGTATTAATTTTCATTTATAGATTTAAACACAATTATTCAATCACACTCAAGATGTGACACACAAGAACCTTAGGACAAGTAGTTACATGATTAATAATACTTTTGCACTACTTTTCATTTAATTACATTAATTCAGTTTAGTAGTTTTGTATACTATAGTACATTGAATACTCATGTTTCACGTTTGTTCGCACTACTGTTGGTATTTCGACAATCAATTGCCAGTCAAAGAATAATTATTTGTATACCATGGTAGAATGACGATCAGATGATAGGTGACCTTTGAAATATCAAACTACCGCCGGTTAATTATCGGTGAACCGTGCGAGTCTTTTTATTCGGTGTGAATCACATGGGTCCTCATACTGTGCGTAAATCTGTACGAAATAACTCAAATGAATACTTGCGCGAGTAATTTGAATAATTATGCTGACAGGTTATACTCGTTGGATGAGTATTGTTACTAGTGCAATAGGGTGTAATTACTTCCTCTAATATCTTCTTATTTTATTTATTTTAGTCTATCTTTATGGCTATACTACTATCATATATATCTGATATTTATCTTTATGATGAAAACTGAAGGCTGATAATTAATATCACATTAGTGAAAAAAAATAATTTATTCTTGAAAAAAAACAAAAGGTCAAGAATTGCGTTGTATCAGCATTCACTGATTGTATCTGCTGATTTTTGAAATTCTCTTTTGTTTTTGAAATCTTTATTTTATAAAACCTTTTGTTTGTGATCGTTAATTTCTTCAAAAAATCGCAATAAAAAAACTTCTAACATACAGCAGCTAAATATAACATATGCAATTATACATTATCATATTTTAGTAAAGTATTAATAAATAAAGTCGAAAAGGATCATTCGACATATCATTTTGAAGAGCAAATAAATCTCTACAATTTTGTGTATTTGAAATAAATTTCCGATTGTTAAATACAAAAACTATAAATACTGCTTCAGATAGCATTGTGAAAAATATGTTGAATTTGTTTATTCATGACTTAGTCTAGATATTAACCAAAAAAATCTCCCAGAACATTTTGACATCAATATGTAATTTACTCCTGAAGTCTTCATCATCACAAGTTGGTTTTTTTAACCACAAATAGTTCGCACAGATCAAAAACAAGGATCAATGTTTGGTTTCAAAGAATTGAAATATAACAGAGTTGCGAACAAAAAGAAAAACTGAAAATCTCACGGGACATTAAGTGTTATAACTGTAATTTGTGAATTTTATATTCTAGCTTCTCATCAGGATTACAATGCAAACAAATTTGGTTTTTTTATTGTCAAAAAATCGCGATTTCATTTCTCTACATCATTTGAGATCATGTCCAATCTTTTGTATAAATCTGTTCACTCTCAGTTAAGATTTTTAATCTCTCGAGAGAGAAAATTTGACAAGTATCTGTCACCTCAAACGCCATCAAAATTTATCTAGACAAGTGTAATATTGCAACAGGCCATTTACATTCTCTTAAAGGTCAAAGCATCCCCTATAGTGTGCTATAAAAAAAAATTAAATTAAAAAAAGTAAGATCTGACGGATAACAAAAATTGTTATTTTCAATCGATAAGTTTTGCGATGGCTGTGCAAACCATGCTTTTTTTTTATTTGGTTTCAAATAGTAGCGTAATCAAAAGATCTTGAATGGTAAGATAGTACTCTATAATAGTACGGCTTCTGGCTTTGTGCCTATCCTTGATTACGCCATTATAGTTTGGAATGTACATTACATCATATGCTTTGCGATAAAATTGCATAATCATATTCTGCAATGCATGTTTACAACGCCATCTAGTTTAAAAATTATCTGATTCGTTTTTTTTTCTTTCTTCTTTTGATGAGCCTCGTCACTATGATTATCCACCGACCGATTGTGACCCAAGTTCATCTTTCCACCATTTCTATATCCCATACATCTATCTATCTATCTATCTATCTATCTATATATTTATTTATTTTTCTTTTGTGTAATTATTCTTTATTTATATTTAAAATATTTCATCATAAGAAAAAAGGCAAAGATTTCAGAACAATTAATAATATTTCAAAGCATAACATTGCATCATACTTATTATTTGTTCTTATTTATAGATCATTTCAATAAATATCAGTAACATATATTGATTAAAATATCATAACAAAAATGTCTGCATCGGAAGTTCGTCAAACATTTATTGAATTTTTTACAAAAAAAAATGGACATTTATATGTTCATTCGTCATCAACAATTCCACTTGATGATCCAACATTACTTTTTGCTAATGCTGGAATGAATCAAGTACATATTCTTTTTTGTTTATTTTTAAGAAAAAAAAAATTATTTTTTCTTTTATAGTTTAAACCATGTTTTCTTGGTACAGCTGATCCAAATAGTGATATGGGAAAATATAAGCGTACAGTAAATAGTCAAAAATGTATACGTGCTGGTGGTAAACATAATGATTTAGATGATGTTGGAAAAGATGTCTATCATCATACATTTTTTGAAATGCTTGGAAATTGGTCATTCGGAGATTATTTTAAAGAAAAAGCAATTGATATGGCATGGGAATTACTTGTTGATGTGTATAAATTAGATCCAAATCGTTTATATGCAACATATTTTGAAGGTAATTCAAAAAGTAATCTTCAACCTGATATAGAAACACAAGATTTATGGAAAAAATAGTAAATTTTAATTCGATTTGTTTTTTTTTTAAATTAAAAAAAAAAAATTTTCTTCTTTTTTAAATAGTTTACCAGATGATCATATAATTCCGGGTAATATGAAAGATAATTTTTGGGAAATGGGTGATACTGGTCCATGTGGTCCATGTACAGAAATACATTTTGATCGTATTGGTGGTGGTCGAAATGCAGCTCATCTTGTTAATCAAGATGATCCAGATGTATTAGAAATTTGGAATCTTGTGTTTATTCAATTTAATAGGTTTTTGTTTTTTTTCTAATTGAAATTTTCTGTTTTTGAATTTTTTTATTTTTATTTTTTTTTTGTTTTTTAGAGAAAAAGATGGTTCATTACGTGAATTACCAGCTAAACATGTTGATACAGGTATGGGTTTTGAACGTTTAACATCAGTTATACAAAATAAACGTTCAAATTATGATACTGATATATTTATGCCGATATTTGCTGCTATTGAAAAAGTAAAATATTTATATAAAAAAGATAATAAGAATTTTTGTTTTTTTTTTTATAAAAAAATTTATTCAATAGGGAACTGGTGCACGATCATATACAGGTAAAGTTGGTGTTGATGATCATGATAAAATGGATATGGCTTATCGTGTTATTGCTGATCATATTCGAACATTAACAATTGCAATTACTGATGGTGGACGACCAGATAAAACAGGACGTGGGTAAGTATGGTTTAAAATAGAATATCTCTACCTTCTGAGCAAAATCAATAGTCCGATATCTTTTCTATAACTAATACTAATTGTATCTCTAGGTGAAAGATTAAATGTTGTAGAAACGTATTAAACTATGTAGCCATTCATCCACGGCGATGAATTTTGATTAATTATATAAATTTTGAAATTTAATGGTCAGATATTATTATTATTCGTTTTCTTTTTCATTCATCCGTATCCGTTTTATTTTTCATTATATTTTATTGTCTATTTCACGATTACTGATACGTTGATTGTCATAAACGTATTATACACGAATGATAAATAAACGTGTTACAGTTGATATTGTGATTAAATGCATGCTTCTATAATATAACACATAACGAATAGAAAAAAACAAAAACTAAGAATGAAGGTCATAAGT